ACTCCACATGAGGCCTCACCAGTGTCGAATAGAGGGGAACGATCACGTCCCTCGATCTGCTGGCAATGCCCCTACTTATACATCCCAAAATGCCATTGGCCTTCTTGGCAACAAGGGCACACTGTTGACTCATATCCAGCTTCTCGTCCACTGTAACCCCTAGGTCCTTTTCTGCAGAACTGCTGCCGAGCCATTCCGTCCCTAGTCTGTAGCGGTGCATTGGATTCTTCCGTCCTCTGCACCTGTCCTTGTTGAACCTCATCAGATTTCTTTTGGCCCAATCCTCCAATTTGTCTAGGTCCCTCTGTATCCTATCCCTACCCTCCAGCGTATCTACCTCTCCTCCCAGTTTAGTGTCATCTGCAAACTTGCTGAGGGTGCAATCCACACCATCCTCCAGATCATTTATGAAGATATTGAACAAAACCGGCCCCAGGACCGACCCTTAGGGCACTCCACTTGATACGGCTGCCAACTAGACATGGAGCCATTGATCACTACCTGTTGAGCCCGACAATCTAGCCAGCTTTTTATCCACCTATGAAGTTCCCACTGCTACCAATGAGAGTTCTGCATACAGCAAAAAGGGCAGAATGCTTGATCTTGCACCATTGAAATCAGTGGCAGTTTTGCTCTTGAATTGTATGGGAGCAGGATCAGACCCAGAATATGCAAAAAGGATATGCACTGCAGATAAGAGATCCATAGAGCAGGTGACAGGGGGAGAACTATGACCTTAGTCTTGAGAGGGAAAAGGCTGATATATATTGTATCACTCTGCAGAACTTCACAGCAGCCAGTTTGGAGTAGCAAGAATCTTGGAGAGTTGTCTCATCCCACTGAGCCACAGGATATGCGCAGTGAGGTAGCTACTATTATTACACGGGTAGGAAAAATAGGATAAAAATAGAAGTGAGTCTAAAATCATTAATTGGGTAAAAGCACTCTGGGTGAAATGCTGACCCTGCTGAAGCCAATAGCCAAAATCCCATTGACTTCAATGGGGCCAGGATTCCTTCCCATAATTTCATTTGATTTATCCATGAGGTTATCTCCTTACAGTAAGATGTCTGAGCACCTTTCACACTCCTGTCCCCCAAGCCAAAAGAGAAAGAGTCCTTCTCATAGATGGCTTTATATAGTGTTAATGAAAACATTTATGTGTCCCCATGCCTTCTTTGTCATTGGTTAAGAAAAATGGCACAGAAAACTAATTATTTACTGCAAGGAATGAGCAACTATGTTTTTGAACTGAATTATTGCCATAATTAAAAATCTTTAAAACTGATTCATTTTAGTCAGGACACTGATTTCCAATGTGTATTCTGTACAAACACAAGGATTATGAAATTCTGACCAAAAGCTAGGTGAATAATTCATAATGAATCATTTATTTGACACTTTTCACTTTTCTTCCTTCTGTTTACAGATTATCCGAAGGCAGATTGTGATTTTCTCAAATTTAATCATTCTGGATAAAATTCACCGCTGTGCATAGGACCAGAACAAGATTTTATGCTACTTAAGCCTTTAAAATCGGAACATAGGAATCACCATACTGAATCAGAACCAATATCCATCTAGTCCAGTATCCTGTCTCTGACAGTAGTCGGAATTAGATGAGACAAAAGAGACTTATGGTGTGCGTAGGTCTCGTGCTAGCTCTCTGCACAGAAGTGAATTTTTCTGTGGCTTGAATAATTCTTGGTTTGTAGCATATTTGTGAGCAGTTTATTGTGTGTATTCCATATTTGAATTATGAGGATAATCCGTTACATCAAATGGCATTGCTTCTGCTTCCTCACTGAATGAACACAACTCTTATAAGTAGGTTTCTTGTGTGAAAACTGAGCGTTAAATTTTTATTTTCCAAGAATGGTCTAAAAGTATGATTAACTTACCCTGCTTCTGTCATTAAACTCACTAGCTAAAATAGTCACAGGTTGCCATCATGAGGGGGAGGGGTGAAACTAATTTGTTTACAAATTCAGACTGTGAAAATGAATGTATTTATAAATACAAGGGATTTTTATACCAGTCGACAAAGCTGTACCTTTGACAGATATTTTTAAGTATGTTTTTCCAAAATAGATAAGTGAAGCTTTCACTATTCCACTTATTCCCAAATTCACTCCTCATAATGAACACAAAGCGTATCCAGCACTAGTACAGCAATAGATAAAAAGCAGATTAAAAAAATGACTATTTCATATTTTCAAACAGGCCTCTGAATCTGAGACTGCAAATTGTGCATGTGTACCCATACACCGATTGCATGTTATAGATCAGTGATACTCAGACCTCAGTGGTTCAGGAGCTAAATTAGCAATCACAATTACCCAAAAGAGCCACAGTAGTGTGAATTTATTGTTTCATTTACTATATATATAGTAAATAACATAGTAAAAGCATCCTGATTGGTTAATATCTTAGACTAATGAATAATTAAATCATACAGTGTTTTGATATCATCTGCTGAAAAGCCACAAGAGAGACATTAAAAATCCACTTGTGGCTCACAAGCCTCAGTAGGAGTATCAATGTTCTAGATAAAGCACCCATTTTTACCTGTGTTCACATATAGAACTGGATATATTGGACACTCATGAAAGTCTTAAAAGGTCTGTAAAAATAAGTTCCTTAAAATGTAGCATTCAGGGGTTTTTTTGGGGGGGAAGGGGCTGTTTTTTTCAGAGATAATTCCTGAATATCCATATTTGTAGAAAACTCTACTTCATTGTTATCCTGTATTGTGGTAGCAAGCAGAGGTCTCAATCAGCACTGAGGCCCTATTGTGCAAGATGTTGTACAAACACATACAAAAGAATGGCACTTGGCCCAAAGAGCTCCATAACCTGTACTGAATTGTGCTATTGTCTACTTGATAATTATCATTCAAATTATTTATTTAAAGTATGCAGCAGATACATAGGAATCCCATGTATTCATTACAATGTGAAAACTACATACAAAACATGTTGATCTCTTCCTGCCTATACTACAGTAGTATTTATGGTAGCTGTTGGGTTTTGCTGCTTCCTGCGAAGGCCACAGACACTGAAGCTCTAAGAATGTACCTTCTTCTGTGACTCTCTGTGCATCTTGCACTGTCTGCCTGTTTAGACTGTAAGTGATTTGGGTTCAGGCAGATGTTCTTACAAAGTGATTTGTTTGACTGACATGTTTTGCCGAGCAAGTGGAGACATATTTACGTAAGAGGAGTCAGGTTGGAACTTGAAAAAAGCTTTCTTTTTTCCAGAGCTCTGAAAGTGATATCATTAATGATATTTGTTAACTGTTGATATTTTGTTCGATGGCGTACAAGACATAAAAAAGGTGTGGAGCAAGATTTTCAGACATAATTAGTGATTTTGGGTGCCCAACTTGAGGAAGCTTGAAGGATCCTGATTTTCAAAAAGTGCTGAGCCTCTACCTATGGAAAATCAGGCCTTTCCACCCAACCTTTGAAAATTAGGTCCTTTCAAGGTGTCTCATGCTGGGCACTTGTCACTTTTCTAAATATTGGCCTCATTTCCTATCAGTGAGAGATTACAATCTGAAACACAAACAGAACCAAACATGAACGTTGAAGGAGAGCTGAAAATATGGTGACAACTGAGCTCTTTTTTGTTATTCACAGAAAGAAACTGGAATGGTAACACTGGGTGGGTTTGCACTGGAAGGTCCTGTGAAAGAAGAGAGTGTTTGGAGAGACTTCAGTTAAAGGAGGTTTACCTTTGGAGTACTGGGTTGGGAGGATGTTCTAGGTGTTGATGACATCATGGAAGAAAACATGAAGAAGAGAGTGAGAGAACTAAGGGAGGCATGAGGCTAACATTACTGACGGAGCGAAAGGGGTGAGGTAGGATACAATATGAAACGAGAGAACGAGTAGAATCTATGTTAATTTGACTTCTCTTGATTTGCCTGTCAGAGGTCATTTTAGCTGTCTTTAGGATCTGTTCTAATGTCCACTGAAATGGATGGAAAAGCTGTTATTGATTCAGTGGGCTTTGGATCAATCCTTATATGCATTCTGGAAGTAAAAATAGTCCGTGAAAAAATATCTGTCTCTATCCACTCATTTCTCTCCCAACAAACAAGTAACCTGCTTGAGATGTCCAGTGTTTTCTTGTACTCTCAGAAGTTGAGGCAACATAAAAGTAATGGGACTTGCCAGCTACAGAAGGCCAGATTAAAACTATACTGCATTCATGCCATATGGTGCAAATTACATCATGAACACACACAACAATGGAAAACAAGTAATGAAAATCCTTTGCTGAAGCCATAATAATTTAATACAACAGTGACTAGGCAAGCAGGAATTCAAGAGGTAAAAGCTCTGAGCTCTAATATGAATCAACCTACCACTATAGGCACACTAAAAGAGACTTAAGGAGTTGATGTTCTGCCCTGAGTCATTGCTACCCGGTTGCTTTTCACAACAAGCAAAGCCATTAATTTTAAATATTGATTTCAATTTAACAGATCTGTATTTATTAATTTGTAAAGACACTGTTGGTTGACCCTACCTCCCACAGTTGCTTTGCCGTCCCAACTGTATTGAAATACTACCTGTGAACTGTCAACAGGTAATACTGCTTAAGATGTTGATACACAAGTAGGAAAAGGCAGATTGACAGCAGCCAGCATGAATGGGAGAACTTACCAGGGTTTGAAAAGCTATAAATACTAATACAAACTGTGGGGGAAATGAGACAACAGGAGAGCACGAGGGAAGAGAAGATGAATGAAGAGAAAGAATAAATACATATAAGCAGATTGGAAAAATAAACTCTGCTCCCAACTGGGAAAAATTTCTTGAGATGTTCATTTTTTTTAAGTGGAAACTGACAACACTGGCATTTTCAACATTTTTGCAATAGATTTGCTGAAGTTTCTCTAAGAATACTACAGAAGTCCCTTAGGAATTAGTCCCTAAAATCTTAAAAATATTTCCCGTCAATAAACTAACTTCTTTATATATTTTTTCTTACCTGTACAATTTATCATAGTGGGTAGACCTATGAAGAATATATGATAACAAGCTGTGAAAGAAAAAAAAAGTGTATTAAAATATAATCCACCTCTCACATCCATGAGTCTAATAGTAAATTAATAAACAGCAACAAGAAGTTCCTACCATACAAATTTTGAACAGTAAAAATATACTAACCCTGGTATATCCTAAAATCCATCAAATGCCTACTTCACCAGAAGTTAGGGCCCTGGATGACCGACAGGATTTATATTAACAACAATCCATGATGTCTTAATGAGAAACTAATGATTGTAGTTACCAGTTGCCATGCTTATTCTTTTTGCTAATATATATATGGCAACAGCCCCACTTATTTAAGTATAAAAATGGCTCTAGAATAATTTTCCTTCTAACATTCCTAATATTCAGAGATTTTAATGTCTGTTAGAAAATTTAAAACTCAACTCAACTTTTTGAAATATAGGTTTCTTCTCTCTCTCTCTCTCTCTCTCTCACACACACACGCACAATATCTGTCTATCTATAAACACAAGTACAGGTTGCAAAGTCAAGCACTCAATAGTTAAGCTCTGCCTGAAGTAAGGCTGTTCTATGCAACCTTAAATTGGGCCCCTTATGGATATGTATTATAATACAGTCTTTAATGACATGATCACATGCTATTTTCCCCACAGGATCCCTGCTCATTTATGGATGGACGGTACTCAATTAACAAGCGACTATTCAATATTTCATTTTATCCATATTGTTCAATGTGTCACCATAGGCCTTATTTACTGCACACTATTCAAACCTTGCTCGGAAGACAGAATTATGAATTTCCTCATGGACTTTTCTATGGCACTCATTACTATAGTATCGGAATGTGTCACAAACATTATTTATCTTCACTAATCCCCTGTGAGATAAGGGATTAGTACTTTCACCATTTTCCAAATGGAGAGCTAAGGCACTGAAAGTTGGAGGTCAAAAATTTCCATCAATTTGAGATGACTGTTGCCAATTGTGGTCGGACATATTCCAGGAGGTTTCATCACATGACATAATCTCACATGAAAGATTAGTTTTTAATTCCTGAAGACTCCAGGCCAATCCTGGAGGGCTGGCAACCCTTTCTGAGACACGTAGGCCCTGCTATATAATTTTTTATTTAGCATTATATAGCACTTTATATATTCACTCACAGCTCCCACTGATTTCAGTTGCAGCTGTGAATGCTCAGCACTTCTGCAAATCAGGCCTCAGGGTATCAAGCTGGGCACCCAGAAAATGAGGAACACACAGTTAGTGACCACCCATGAAAACTTTCATTTAAGTGATTTGTTTAGCACTATGCAGGAACTCTCTGGCAGAGGCAGGGATAGAATCCAATTCTCCAGGGCAGCATTCAATTGCATTAACCACAAGACCTTAATTTTCTCTTCCTGTAATCTCCTGTCTTCTTCACTACACACCTTCCAACAAATGTAACAACTGAAGCAGGTGTCCTACAGACAACAGGTTCCTTCACCACACAACACTCAGTCAACCCCAGATGAGATCTTATAATAACCTTATAATAGGAAGCATCGGGCAACCTTAATAATAAGCGGTACTACTAGCCCTGCCAATAATATAGAAAGGGAACTCCTTTCCTTCCCTTCAAAAGTATAATTGTAACGGGTTTCAGTTATACTGTACAATATGTGCAAATGTATTCATACACACACCAGGTTATGGTGCTTAGCATTATTTAACGAAACGAGAAACTGCCTGCAGCCATGTGTGCAATTTTGGAATGGACCAATAATCAGCCATTTGCATGTACAGAAACATATCACAAATACAGTCAGATCAACCCATCTAACTTCAGCACATAAAATACGAGCTGTTAATGGGACATATTCTCCTTTTCATTATACCAGTGTAGCTCTAACAAAATCACATGGCACTAATGTAACAGAAGAGATTTTGACCCAATATCTTATTTTTAGAACTGAGAGTTGACTCAAGCAGCCCTTGGGTAGGGACATAACATCTCCTCAGCTTCCTGTCTGAGATATTTTGCAGTTTCTCCTTTCCTTTTTCAGCAAGATTAACGATGGAAATTATTTTTTCTGTTCCAAATATAGCCCAAAATCTGGCAATTGAATTTGCATGGGTGGACTCCTGAAGCTTCTCAGATCTTTTTGCAGGTGGAATTGTGTGCCTGCACAGACCCAAAAGCAGGAACATTTCTCACAACTAGCATAATTTGTCCAAAGAAATCCAAGAGTAGAAACAAATTGAAACCTCAGTGAAGCAACAGTCCCATGAAAGGTCATATATGAAATATGAAGCTCCAAAATGAGAGGAGGGGAAAAAAGCACCTACCACTGCCCAGATATTCAATGATTACTTAAAAAACGATTCACCAACACCCAAAATGTGTCTGTGAAAATATACCATCCAAAAGTGTAAGCAAGAATATTAGTACAAAATGAGCTAGAACTTAAGATGTGCATTTTCATGTTCAATATTCTAATTACCTTTAGGACTTCATTTTTTAAATTCAGGACCAAAGACATCTTAATTACATTTTAGCCTTAAAAATGTAGTAGAAGTTTACATTTTAGATGCTGCTTCTTCCCTAATACATACTGAGTCATACAAAACCATACCAATAAATGGCTAAAAATGCAGAATTAAATCCACAGTTATTTATGATGCTCCAGAAATGGGCTGGGCACATAGCGACAATTTAAGCAGCCATACATGTTCTCATCACTGAATTCATATAACTGTCGGTATTAGTCTGAGCCTCCACTCTCTGAATATGTCAGTACTGGCCTTTTTCTTTCTTAGTTGTACAAAGTTATTTACAAACTTGATTCTGCTAGCAGTGGGTGTTTTGACATTGGTTTCATTTTGAATAGTATCAGGCACTACATTTCCCCCATTCTTTCCATTATCCTCACTGATATTGCATTGACTCTTTGAGTCTATAAAAATGTTTACTGAAGATGTGTTTCAGCAATGCCTCATTTAAATTCTTCTCACAAAAAATGTTTTCAGAACATGCTATGGGGCATTTAAATCTAAAATCCATAAGATTCTAACCATGTGGGTGAAAGCATATACTGTATGATAAGACGATCAGCTTGTAAGATTATGCAATGGATTTTATGGTTATCCTACTCTCTTGGAAGAGGCCTACAGTGTCAACATCATTGCTTAAGCATATATTTACACAAAGATTGTTAATACTCTCATTTAGTGTTGCTAATAAAAGCCCCATACACATTCTACCTGGATATCAATATTGAGGGGACAGGGGAAGGAGAACACAAAAACTGTGGAAAAGAAAGATGAATAAGGATTGGATGAATAATAAATCAAAGGTTGTAATACCTTTCTCCTCTAAGAATTCAGGACTTGCTTTACAGAATCCCTTTCTTTGAAGTTTCATACAAAAACAGAATTGGAACAGGTCTCACAGCAATTAAGAAAACAAATCCAGAACGAAGAACACCATCCAACCCATTAAGTCTTGCTCTAGTTTGGAAAAAGTCACCCAAATGCTTCTTGAAATTCTAGAACACGGGTCTCAAACATGCGGCCCGCAGGCTGCCGTGGGGTTATTTTCTGCGGCCCGCCAGCTCCCCGCGCCCCTGCCAGCATTTACCTAGAGGAAGGGGTTGGAATGGGGGCAGGGAAGGGGTGGGAAGAGGCAGGGCAGGGGCGGGGCCTCATGGAAGGGGTGGAGTGGGGGTGGGGCCAGAGCAGCGGTGGGGGGTCAGTGGTGTGGCCCTTGGGCCAATGTACTAGTCCTCATGTGGCCCTCATGGTCATTTGAGTTTGAGACCCCTGCCCTAGAAGCTCTTGGGAATGTCTGTCCCACCTCCTGAACATAATTGATTGTGTATATACACAAGGAACAACAAATTTGAGTCTTTTTCAGTAATGATAGTTGTAATATGTCTGTACATACAGTACAGCTGTTTATTAGGAACAAGATGGAGAGCTAATTCTTAAACAAATACCTGCATTTAAAGTATCCCTACAGAAATTCTATTGAAAAAAATAGGAAACTTTTGTTCTTTCATGCAAATTTGTCTTTCCACCTCAAGGAATCCATCAGTTTAGAACAGAGGTTTTTTGGTTTTTGTCTGCATTGTTATTGGGATTGAATTCCTTCAATGGGGGATTACTATCTTTTTAATAACTGACACAATTTTGGAATTCACCTTCAGGTTGGCACAGAATTTACATTTCTATATTTTAGGAATTCTACGAGCTCTTCTTCTCAGAAGAATGGAAATTCTCAATCAACAATCACCCCTATGAATTTCAGGATTGGGAAGGCTTGTTTCTCTTCACACTTTCCCATTTTAAAGGCAGCCTTGGTACTTTCACAGTATAATTCCCACAATCTAAAGGGCCTCTATGACCTTGCTTATTAGTTTCTCCATGAATTCAAAAGCTGACCTCCTGGTTTGGAATCCGGCTCATACCATCAACAGGAATTCAGAGCAGATGGTATGAAGAGCAGGGAAGAAATTTTTTTTTATTTTAAGTTTGCTTGATGTTCCCACCTTGTCCCTTTTTAATCTTCCGTCTTCTTAGAAACAGGCACAGCTCAGGAAGAGCAGGATTCTGAGGGGTGAATTCTGAAAATCTCAGAAAACTGATAGGGACTCTCAGAGATGGATGTGGAGAACAAGAGATGCAGGAGCATGAGAATCCCTCCAATCCAAATCTCGTTGGACAAGATAGTGACACAGATTTTGCAAGGGGCTTATAGAAAGGAGGAAAGAGGAAAATATTTTAGGATCATGCTGTTCTTCGTTCTGGATTCATACCCCACATAAAAAAATAGTAAGAGGAACAAAAAATGTCACCATGACTAAACAACATAGTAAAAGAGGCAGTCAGAGGCAAAAAGGCATCCCTTCAAAAACCTGAAAGTCACATTCTACTGAAAACAATAGAAAAGAGCATAAACTTTGGCAAGTCAAGTGTAAAAGCCTAATTAGTCAGGCCAAAAAAGAATTTGATGAGCAACAAGCAAAAAGACTCAAAAACCAA